TAATTTTCATGTTTTATCATCTCTTTTTAGGCCTTTAGGACATAATTTAGTCGAAAATCAACGTTTGGGGACGGTCGAGGGGTCTGAAGTATCAAATTCCAACAAAGGAACAATATCCTCTTTATTGATAGTCAACGCGTAACCTTGTGCATGCAAGGCCACAATAAAATTAACAAGGGCTTATATGACTAGGTGCAGTTGACCAATGGGGTGGGTTTTAAAACCCACCTCGATACACATTACATGCACACTGAAAAACATTACCGACACCCCCTCTCGATTTTTCTTCAAATTCTTGACAGTCTCTCATCAACTTTTTCCAAATTTCACGTGGGCATTGAAGATTGTACAAACTACAGCATCATTCAACAACTGTTTCACACTAACATCCCCAAAATTTCAAGAAATCAAAAGTACTTGTTATACTTTGAAGAATTTCATGGTTTTGCTAGTTTTCTATATATCTCGCTATTTGTTGGAATTTTTGTGGTTCTTGATTGATAACGGGAGGTAGGCCATATGTGTTGTAAATTAGTGCATTAGACTTGTTTAGGTTCAAAGTTTGCATTAGACTCATTGCACATTACGTGTTTGACGAAAGGTTTAAATGCATTTTTTGTTCATGCCTGTGGCCCTATTTACATTCCCTACCTACGAACCCTCGTCTTTCCTATGAATCGACGTTCATATTATTTTATTATGGTTGGCATAACCTATACAAGTAACTAATGTTCATTTTTTTACACTGTTTGATAAGGATGCCTCCAAAGATAAATAATATTTCTTCCACATCATAGGGCAAAAAAAGGGTCACGAGATCTTCCAGCATAGCTCGCACTCGACTTGATGACGAGGTATGCGGTAGTTTTCAACACTTGAGCACAAAGCTAGATTTGATAATGTGGTCTCAAGATGGAAACTTTGGCCAAGACGATAGGTAGTGGTGGAAGACTTTCTAGGGTTTGAGTTGACCCAGTTGATTCGTTTAGCAAGATGGGAACAAGTAGTAGACGAGCCTTACAAGGTCTATCTTACCTTGGTGTAAGAGTTCTACTCCAACTTTACTGTAGAGTTTGACATTCTGGGGACCGAACATATGCACCAGACATGGATTTGAGACAAATGGACAATGTTCTTGCCAGAAGTAATCGATACTTACTACGGACTAACTAGGGACAATATCATTCCAGTGCCAATGGATCTAGACTTGTTAGTCGTTGCACAAATGCTATATGGGAGAGACGACTCATGGTCACTTCTAGAAAATGAATTTGAATACCGACATCTGACAGACTCCCTTGTGATCCTATATAACTTCATTAGTCACAACATCGATTCAAACTCACACCGCACCACCATTAGTCACCTGAAGGCCAGTCTACTGTATCCTCTCGCATGAGGTTTTAAGATTTATTTGGGATCTATTATTTACAATCTCATACGTTTTGTGGCGACAGATTCAAACCTAAAAAGCTTATGATTAATGTTGATGAATTGCAATTTGTCGCCTTTTCTTCTAGCCAAGACCTGGGTTTAGTAGAATCTTCGTTGAATAACTCGATTGCAATTGGCATGTTTGTTTATCTTTCTTTCTTTATGGCCCTGTGTGTGTGTGTGTATGCCTTTACTCATTTTGTAGCCTTCATATAATTCATTCATCCCCTTCATGTAGGCATTTGATTCTCTTTTCACATCATCTGACCTGCATGGCATGAATGGTGGCCAAGTACCACAATGTAATCCAAAAATATTAGATAGAGCTACCACAATGTAGGATCGTGGCCAGGTAACCTTTTTAACCCTTTAGATACTTTTGATAGAAATTTGATGAGATTAACTGATAGTGATGGCGTGCTTTTTAGTGAACTAGCCTGCAAAATGTAACGTGCGAAAACTATTGGGCTAAGTGGCAACTTGACAATTGAAATTGTTTACTTTTAGTTGTTTTTATTTCTGTGTTCTTTGAAAAAGTCATTGATATTAAACCATACAAACTGCATAATTCATTGCTGAAGGTTTTTTTGTCAGTTCTTTTACATTAAGTAATAAGAACCATCTCTATAGAGGGTTCTCAATAAAATTTGAAGACCGATACAATTTTTTATATTGATTTTACTGAGAAATCTAAATTTACTACATATTTGAAGTTTTCCAACTGTTATTTAGAACAATTTCAATCTCTCTCTTCTATTGGTTAAGCTTTTCCTCATATTTAGATTCAATATGGGAGTTTTGTCCAGCACTGAGCGGTTCTTCTTAAGGCAAATACCCGAACGAGTATTTGAATAAAAAATTAACGAGTTTGGTTTAGTTCTCGATTCTAGTCCAAAAATCGAATAAGAATCAAATCTTCCTAATCTTTTTTTTTTAATCTTAAATAAGCCAAACTATTTATTTAAAATAAATTTGCTAACTAATTAGCTCAAACCTAAAATATGATTTTTCTATTTTTAATTTTCAACCAAAACCAACTTAATTAAATTGACCTAAGTTTTACCCAAATTTCTTGTTCTACTATTTCTGCCATTCTGGAGAAATCGAATGTGCCTCTATTTATTATTGTGAGTTCGCTATCTTTCTATTCTTATGATTTCAAAAGTCAAATTTTTGAAGAACTCAACAAAGAAAGGCGCAAAAGATATCATAGGTTTGGACTACGTTATTTTGTAAGAGCTAAAATTCAATATGTCATAGTTGAATTAATTTAACGTTGTTGTAAATATTAAAAAAATTATTGTATAGAACTCGAGAAACGAATGGAGCCGAACCAGATTGTTCCATAATTAAGTTGGACCAGAGATTCTACTTGCTAAATACCTTCGGGTTCGATTCGGTTCTCGTTTGCCCTAAATAAAAGATAAATGTGGAAAAAATACATATTAAATATTTTATTTTGTTAAAGTTTCTAAAAATTTTGGGGTGAATGAGAAATAAATTTTGCGATTTTTAATATTTTGCTCATCCTCAAGCAAACACTTAACAAAAAATAATAAGAATAATAAATAAATAAATAAGGAAGAAGAAAAAGCAAAAAGAAAAAAAAATCACTAACAAACAGACAATCAAATAAGTACAAACAAAATCACTTAAAATAAATTGTGCTAGATATCTTGCCCTCATAGTGCAGGATTGAAAACATTAATCTCATGAATCACTTCAAAGTTATAATGTACAAATTAAATTCTCACATATTCAATGCAAAACGAGTCTGTGTATGGAGAATCAAGTGCAACGAGTCTGTGTATGGAGAACCAAGTACAACGCTGTACAATAATAAGTCGATCCAATTCCCGACCTTAAAAGTCAAATATTTTCTTTCTCGTTTGTAAGATTCATATACCCTCAAACTTATTTTCTTTTCTCTTCCCAAGAGTGTAATCTAAAGTTAATTTATAATCCACTACTCCTTACCTTCTCTAGTTTGGTTAGATTTTAGTATTACAACCTTGCATTGGTTCCGGGAAAATGAAGTTTCATATTTATGTTCTTGTGTCTTATTAAGATGGATAAATTCTAAGCTGCGGGTTCTATATGTGTGTGGAATTATCAATCACTTCAATGTGGATCCTATATTGAGATGATCGATTTAATAAGTCCACATGTTTGAGATAAGTTATTACATTATTTGAATGAGATGAAATTTGAATTATGGAATTGATGGGCACCAAAACTCATCTTCCTCAATGTTTTGGCCCCGTTTGATCCTCATTTTCTAAAACTTCATTTTTTTCAAAATCATTTTTCAATTACAATTTTCTGATAAAATAATTTAACATGTAAATTCAAAATTTCAACTTTTGATTTCAAATTCATGAAAAAATCACGATTATGAAATTCATTTTTACAAAAAAATGAGCACAAACAGAGCCTTATTAGAATTCAGATTGCATAATCCGCCTTAAGATTCTATAGATTTATAATTGTTTTTAATTATTAGAAATATTAAAAAATTAAAAATTAAAGCATGATCTTTCCTTTTGAAAGCATTCATTTGGTTCGTTATGCAACGGGCATCAACTTATACTGGAGAACATGGCATATACATCATATTCCTCAATCAATATTATTATTTAATTATTTAAAGTCTCAATCAATAAAATCATGTAGCAAAACAACAAACACAAATTAACATTTTAATTATTCTCCCCCGTGATCTTATCCTCCTCTTGACAATTAACCATCATGAGAAAATTTAGCACTCATTCTTTTATGCTATTGATTTCTTTATTGTATTAGAAACTACTCGATAATATCAAATTATAAATTAAAAAAAATAAAAATTAAACTATTATTGGAGCTCTCCCAAGTCTATACAAAGTCTCACTTGGGTCATCGGACTGTAAAATGTCTCAGAAACTAAGCTTTAATTTTATTTCTAATGGAGTCACTCTATTAGTTACAATAAAAGAAATTAATGGGTTTGTCTACGTGGACGTTAAACAAGATAGAATATCATATAGAATAAAGTCAATAGACATAAAGCACGATTTAAAACTTCAATCCTAATACCATGAAATCAGTTGAGTGATGACAAGTTTGCGGATTATATCATAAAATCTTGTGTACCCATAAATTTATCGAGTGAATTTTCATCCCATGTAGTATTTTATCTAATTATCAACATCCACATAGGCATCTAACAGATTGATTAGATATGAAATAAAATTAGAGTTTGGTGACTTGATGAAGACTTGATGAAGTTAGGTGAAAATATATCCTTTGACATTAAAATAAAAAGGAAAATTCATAGTAATGATTAATTTAATATGACGTAAATACACATTTGTTTGAGTCACTTGTATTCTCCACTTTGGAGCAATAAAATCAGTATTTTAATGATTAGGTAACATAAAAGTTAGAATCACTTTGTAATAAATTATCCTTTAGATGGTTTTCCAAATGTGCTATCAGATAGTACATACTCTAAAGCAATCCAACCTTGGCATTAATTTATTGTATCGGTCGTCGCGTTTCTCTAATTCTCACTATATATGCTTGTATTATCCTGATTATACAACCCTGAATTCCACGACATGAATTTCACAAAATGTCTGAAATTTCCTCTGTTAATTCTATTTTTCATATTGATCTCCTTTCCTTGTTTAACAAGAAGCACCCCAGTGCTAGATACAGATGGTAATGAAGTCCAAAGTAATACGAAATACAATGTATTTCCTCTAGAAAGAGGAAATGGTGGTGGACTTGCACTTTCTGCAAAAGATAGGCCATGCCCATTTATTGTCATGCAAGAAAACTATGAATCTTCAAGTGGGCTTCCTCTAAAGTTGTTTCCATTGGACAACAAGCAACAGGTAGTTAACTTGTCCACATATCTGAATATCGTTTTCTCGGCTGCCACGATTTGCGTGCAATCGACCGTGTGGAAACTTGGCGGCGTGGATGAGATCACAGGATGGAGATATGTGTCTAGTGGCGGCATCATGGGGCGTCCGGGAGTGCATTCAGTTGACACATGGTTCAAACTTGAAAAGTATGGGAATGTGTATAAGATTGTTTGGTGTCCTACTAATGTGTGTAATACTTGCAAGGTTGTGTGTGGGAATGTGGGTGTATTTGTAGAAAATGGCAAGAGATGGCTTGGTTTGAGTGATGTACCTCTTGTTGTTGTGTTTAAGCGAAGTCCAACTTGATAAGAGTTCAGAAAATCTCATTAATAAAAAGACCTATTACTAGATTTTTCTTGATTCTATCAAAATTATGTGATTTATTACAAGAATTAGTTCAATTCTAGAAAGAATTTGAAAAAAAGAAATGTACTAGTTAAGAATGGTTGTTACTACTCAACACACGTAAGGATCATGAGGGAATTATAAGTCGCATTGAGAAATAAAACATGAATTCTAGTAACAGTTCAGATAATCTCGACTCAAGACATAAGAAAAAAAGACTTATAGTACAATTATCGACTAAAATTCTATTGGAAGGTGATGTGAATTTCTATGCAACACGGCTACAAATACTTATAAAAGAATAAAATATCATTTGAGAAATATCTAATTTATTTTATTTTTTCAAGTATCTTCATGTTCAAATCAGTTGTACAGCCATTTCACCTTTCAATACAAACAATGTAATTGTCAACACGACAAACTTATTATAGTTGAATTAAATGAACACGATGCTCCTCCATGGGTATAAGCCAAAAAAGTTGAAGAATTTATAGTTGGACATTTGTGCCCACGTGATAAGTTATGGTCTCAAGGATTTGATGATGTGTCTTATTGAATAATTATTGAAGAAGTTAATTTCCTCTATTTTGGTGGGAAATAAAAATATACTACCCATCAATTCATACATGCTATTATTTGAGAGGCAAAGAGAGAAACACAAGTAGACTACATATATATTTAGAGATTGAAGACATGCTATTAAACGGAAATTCATGATACAAAATTAAAGATCGATCACTATGAATCATGTAGTTCTTTATTATTTCATATTTGTCTATGAAAAATAAGATCTGGTAAAAAAGAGAGAGAGAGAGATTGGTTAACATTGTGATGGTCGAAATAGAAACAAACTGAAGTTACAATTTTTTAAACAAATAAAGAAAATAATACCTGTTAAATATCTTTTCTTAAGCTTCGAAAGATTTATTTGTAAGTCAATAAGTTCTAAAGTAAATAATTTTTGTTTATATATATTAAAATGAAGTACGTAAAAATCTAAAATATTTATAGATATGTTCAGAAAATTAAATTATAGTAGGAGAGAATCATACTTTCTCACTATTTTCTCTGATCGCATATTTGCAAGCCCGTTGCCATATCTCTATAATATCCCCATCGCTAAATCTTGGAGTATATTCATCAAGAACTCTCAGATGAATGTCTTTGGAAGTGTGATCGTTCATCTAGCAGAGCAACATAAACTAAATGATCAAGACTACCAGGTCAATTATGTCAGTCTATTAGTAGCCTCAATTATGGGGCTCCATTACAGTCAGAAATTGGTTGAGAATTCGACCAGCAGTTGGCATATCGAACGTTACTTAACTTAACCAAAAGTAATCTTACTTTCTATACAAACAAGTAAGAAAATGTAAAACTAAAACAAGTATAAATAAAATTTGACGGTTTATGGGTATTCAATATAAACTTTTTGAAATTTCATAAACTTTTAAAAAATCTTTAAAAAAACATGGTGTATTCAATTGAAATATTTGAGAAGACTCTATAAGCTTTGATGCATTCAAATTATTGATAATTTTTAATGACTTTTATAAAATCTCTAAAATTAATTTTTAAGCATAAAGTACTAATTTTTAAGCATAAAGTACTAAAATAAAATCTCAAAGATTGTCTTCTATTCATTCCCAGTTTTTGGGAGACTTTTGCAAAAAAATAAAAATTAATTAATTAATTAAAAAATAATAAAAATAACAATATGTGTTTTTTGTTTCTTTCAATATTTCTCTATCTTTTTATCGTCTACGAACATTAGAGTCGTATTTTTTTTTAGTGGTTATATGTGTTTCTATTTTTCTTTTTTTTTTCCCTGTCTCTCTATCTCTCTTTTATTTTTTTTATCTCTATTTTCTATTTAAAAAAATTTAATTATAAGTAAAGATTCTTATAACTTTTATTTTTCATATTTTAATGAAAAATATCTATTTGCAACTAGAAATTATAAGAGTTTATATAAAAAATAATTTATGACCAAGTTTAAATAGAATTCTTGTTTACTCTTTAAAGGTGTGTCATATTGATTATTGTTTATTTAATTAAGGTGGCTTATATTTTTATTCTTTTAAAAATATGTTTTATTATATGGAGAGGGGAAAGGGAAATGCCAACTCATATGTGAAATTTTCACCAGTTTTGCTACTTTAATCAAAAGGGTGACATTCTGGGTGACCGAATTGCCACTTGCCAATTCTATGGTTGTTGGTAGAAAACTATTTTTTTCTACCAATCAATTGTGATTTGCCATTTGACAATTCTGTCACCCAAGGAGTCATTCTGAATGTTACTATAGCAAAACTCAATTTTCACACTGTTATTCTAAATCCATGTGAATTTCATTTAAATAGAAGTCTTCAATGGTTATTTATTCTACAAAAGTCTATGAATGTTTTGAAATGATAATCTATAAAAGTTTACAAAAGACTTCACTAATTCCATACAAATCTATAAAAAGTTTACAAAATTCACAAAAATCTTTTACTATAAAAAAAAAAAAAAAAAAGAGCCTCATAAAAGCCTACAAAAATTAATTGAATGCACCCCTTAAATGTTCATTTGACATGAAATAAATCTCAAAAGTTACTTTGGAACTCATTTGCTTAGTTTTATAAAAGTGATTCTTCTAGTTAGAAGATCTTTTACGCGAATTTCCTCTCAAAACTTTTTCAAAAGAAGAAGACTCTGTTAAAAATTAGTTTCCAATATCACTTAAGGTAACTTTTCTTAATAAGCTTTTATGAAAGAAATAAAAGTAAAAAATAAAAATTTTGCCAAACAAACCCTAAGTAGATTATAAACACATTATAATGTTAACACGTTACATTCGAGTTTTGCTCCTAAGCCCCTTTATGGTGGTCCTTTGTTTTGGAAAAATACATTGTTTTAAATAGGTAGTTTTTGGAGGATGTGTGATTAAAAGTGGGAAAAAGTTTTAAATTTATTTGTATAATATTTTATTGTGTGGATGTATGATTAAAAATTAATACATAGAAAAAAGAGTTTCGAAAGAGTGAAATATAAACCGAGGCTAAATGTCTGAAACTTCGGCCATGACATTTTTCTCTGCCATATCCATGTGAAAACATAGACCAAACCTTTTTCTGCCATGACATTGACTATAATGGCTGGCCCTACTAAGAAATGGACAAATTGAGAAGCCAGCACCAACCCGACAAAGATCTGGATTAATGACAGCCCAACGAAAAAGAATACCAAAAAGGAGAATGAAAAGCACCCACAATTCCTGCTAATAAATGACCCCTATTTTGTCATATGTATTAAGTGCTTAATTAAACAAAAAAGCATGGGCACAAATGCATTTTTTCCAATTATAAACAGTAATTGAAATTTGAATATAAGTTATGTAGTTAAAAAAAAAAAAAAAAAAGTTGAAATTTTAGTATAATTTCGACATTTAATTAACTTAAAGGAGCTCTTATTGGAATTCCTTTTCTCTTATGCAATAGCTTCCTTCGCCTTAATAGTGTAGTACTAACCCATTCTTGAATTACTTCAGAAGAATCATTTTCACTAGAAAGCTCGTCAAGTTTGGTGAAAATCTCTTGGCTTTGCTGTTCAATTACTGCGTTCGACGACATCTGCAAATCCAATTTTGAAACATAAGTAGCTTATAAGCATTTCGGGCATTCGATAAAACTAAGTTGAGAGAACTACTTTGCAGGCAATGGAGCAAAAGCGATTGGGCAAGTCTTGTATGTGCCTCCCACATGCTTCACACGATGCCCCAGCTTTCGGTTTTGAAGTTTTTACAAATTCTTTCAATTGTGGGCGAGAATTCAAATGTACTGCTTTTTCACCATTAATTTTGTACGTCTGCATGTAATTTCATTAACTAAATTGTGAATTAACATAATTAGCAACTGATTATAACAAAAAAAAAAAAGAAAAAAAAAAGAGGACGATTAATTGAGATTATTAATGAAGGATTACCAAATCAGAAAAGATAATTAACCGCAAGAGAATAATATATAATTATCAATTTAAAAAGTAATAGGAGAATTGAGAGAAGAAAAATGGATACGAACCTGAATTTGAGAAGAATCGAGATATTTCTGAATATCTTGGACGCGAACGACATCATGATATACATATTTGCAGATTTGAAGGCAGCGATGAAGGTTGCAGTGAGTTGAAGAAGTTATACAGTGCTTACAAAAGCAAAGATTGCAATCGATACAGAACATATTCTTCTCATTCTTCCTCAGCCCTCGATGATCAATACACGAATCGAAGAATTTGCTGTGCAGTAAAGTGCTCAACCACTCCGGTTTTCGTTTCTTCAATCCAACCTACCAATCAATCAGAATCTCAATCAAATTACTACATATATTAAAATGAATTTCACAAAAAACCTATTCAAATACGGTAAATTCCTTGCTAATAAAAACTGGATTGAAACGAGTAAATGAACACAATAACACGACAATCTGAACGAAATTCATAAAGAAATCTATTCAAATTAGCTTAATTCCTTGCTACAAACACTGAATTGAAACGAATAATTTTATGCTAACCATGTTTTTAGTAGAATTTGAAGTAGAGAAAACGATAAAAATAGTGAAGAAATGTATAGAATCAAGGGTCTTGTAAGGAAATTGAAAGTGAAATAGAAATGGCAACAGAGATCTTTTAAAATAGTGAAAAGAATAAAACCTAATAATATGTCCATGCTGGTAATAATGGAAAGTCATAAAATATTCGACGACGGCCGTTGGATCCACTTGGGTGCATAGGATGGTCGAAATATGGTTTTATTCCGCATTCTGGGTCGTTGCTTCTGGTGTTATCCGGCGCCGTTTTATCTTTTTCCTTAACTTTATTAGTAACAGCCTTTTCATTTGTAACATATAGTGGAAAAAGCTAATTGAATTTTGAAATCAATTGATGTATTCACATTTGGAATGAAAAATTGTAAGATCAAATCATATAAAATTTGACACTTGGAATGTTGACAAATTGAAGGGAAATTTTAGTCAAATTGCTTGACATTGGGCAAGTAATGTTCGAATATTAATGATTTGTTCTTGTCACATACAATTTTTTATCCTCGATCAAATATTTTTAAATAATTCTCGACCCTTTTTTTTTTTACTATCACTTGATTCTTTAGGTATTGAGCGATTCTCAGTTTGCAAACTATTAATCAAAAGTGCAATTTCTTGTTCCAAGGCCACGTATCTCTAGGCCATGTTTAGTGCTTCTTCCGTAGTTTTGACTTCCGACTTGATAAGAAACTCGTAGAGAAAGACCTCAATTTGAGCACTAATGTGGCAATTGAATCTTCACAATTGACAATCTTCATTTTCTATTATCTTTGCATCTCCCTTGCTTGTTGCAATCGAGATCAAAGCTCTTAATCATCTCACTAGGTTATCTCTATATGTTCATGGGATCATCATCTCGATAAGAGTCGTGCTACTTCTTAGGTATCATAATATCTAGTCATATTATCATTTGAGTTACAATCTTTTAATAAGTAGCGCAAAATTATTGGTTTTAGTAAGTTTTGAACGAATGCCTTAAGAATTTGATGAAAATAAAAAAATAAAAATTTGTTTTATGTGTCCAAGATATATATCCGTGTTCACATGCCCTAATCGGTAAAGGCTTTGGCAATAATTATCACGGAACTAGGATGGAACCACACTACAAAATAAAGTATTTTAGTTCCAATCAAGCAAGCTTTTAAGTTTGCGAGAAAAGAATTGTAATTAGTCGCCAACCATCAATACCGGTTATTTTTATTTTCTTCTTAGAATGAATTATATGTTAGCTTTTTGATTCCCTTGATTGCCTAATTTTTGTGATTTATCAAATACCCGACACAGCAGAAAGACCAAAAAGAAAAAAAAATAATAAATAAATAAATTAGAGGGCAGGTTGGTTGTCCTATATCATATAAATATATACATGGTAGGGTGGTCCACTAAAATCATGATATCTTAAAGTTCGAACCTAAGTCGCTATAAATATATGTCAAGTGCTATTTTTTGTTATATTCTTATATATTGTCTTATTTCAAAATTTGTTGCCTCAACTAAATCACATTATTGAAAAAAAAAATAGAGAATTAGAAAATTTTGTGGGACTGACCAACTCAACCTAACTGATTCACTACAATAAGTATCCAAAATATAAAGTGTTCAATACTCACTATTTAATTGACATGCATATTATATAACTAAGATCCACTATTTACTTGAAACACAAACAAACACGTGTCAATTGAACAGTGACATGATGATGCAGGAGGTTCCGAATCAAGTGGGGCCGAGATGTCAGATAGCACGTTTATGGTGTTGAGATACTATGAGATGGCGGATGGTGCAAAGATGGAAAGTGATTGCAATCCTTCCTTAACTGAGGCAATTTTAACACTTTTTGGTAATTTTGTCATAATTTTGACTACGATTTTTAGAATCGCAATTATAACCCCAATTCGAAAAACTCTTTTCAGCGTGCACATTGTGGTCATTAGATATGCTTGATGGGCATCAATTTCGAGGCCAAAATCCACGATTTTTCCCTTCGAATTTCAATTTTTAGTTTGTTTTTTTGTTTTTTTTTTTGTAATAATTCGTTTGCCTTTTTCTAGTTGATTACAAATCCGATTTGAGCCAAATTTTTGACAAGTCACTTCTTTTATTTTGTATTTTATTTTGGTGTAATTTTCGAAATTTTACTTTTTTCGATAAATTTTCCATAATTTCGTATTTTCTCAGCTATTTTAACCCGGCTTGTGGGTTAATTTTCGTAATTCTAGAATTCTAATAATATTGAGTGAATTTCAAACTATTTTGGACGTTATTCTTTCGTTTACTTTTATTGTGAATCATCTGTTGCAATAAGTTCACAAGATAATAGCTATCATGCTTGACGTCACATGACGTAATACTGTAAAATTTCTCAGTTTCACAGTCACTTATGTAACATTCTTTGTATATGCATTAATCACTATTATGTGACCTTGTTCATCTAATACAAAATTGGAAGAATAAGCAAATTATTATATACAAGGCATGTTTGGTGCACGATGCTAACTGTTATATAGAACTAGATAGTATAATAAATAAGATTTCAAATTCATTTTTTTTTAATTTTTGAGTACTATTCAATCCTCTGACCAAACTGCAAAATGTACTGCACTGTTATATGATTTGGCATGGTAATATAACAGATTTTGAAGGGCTTCTCAGTCATTTTAACTCCTATATTTGAGCATAGTAGTTACCAAATAGCCATGATGAAACCCATTGAAGCAAAGGTTGAGCAATCTGATCTATCGGACGAAGCACGAAGAGTGTGCCACAAAGTTTTTTGATGTAGTAATGCCCTCATTCCTCAGTCACTATGAAGCTTTCTTTGTTGAAAAATAAGGGGTTGGAGAAGAAACAACAAAATTATAGGATTAAAATTAATAAAAATCACGAAATACGTCAAGAACAAATTTGAGGCTTGAACATGGGATCGTTGTCCTCAAACTATATTTGTCCCCTCTCGGGATTAAATGAGATGCTTAAGGGTTTTGGCAATCGATTTGTAGAATTATATCGAGCCTTGTAAATGATTTAACACCAAAGCACAAGTGCAATCCTCCAAAACTTTAAGAACATAAAGGAAGATCTTGAATATAAATGTAAATTAATAGTTTGATTCAATATGGATTGATATATGGATCTCAAAATGTTTTCAATAATTCTAATAATGTTTGTATTGATCATTCATCACCTATTCCTAGGTCTCAATTAATGCATCATGAAACGATGTCAAAATAAGATGAAAAGTGGCAACTTTTAATCTCAAACGGCTCCCAAATTTCAAATTGAAAAATCAGTCAACGGCTATTTTTTAACATTATGCATACGTATAGTATAAACCGTGCGTACGCATAGTAGAAGCAAAATTTAATTATGATTTTGTCAAAACACATCTTGCGTATGCACAAAATTAAGCATGTGCTTACGCATAGGCAAAAATTCAAATTTTGCTTTTTTCAATTTTTTTTTTATTCTACCAATTCCACAATTGAGCTCAACAATAAGTTTATTATTATTCCATTGATTTTGAACAAATTTTCAACAATCCCCCACTTGTTCAAAATCAATACGATCACATATTCAAAAAGATGATAATTATGCATAAGGATTAGATATATTTCGATTTAAATCTAACCATAATATAATTCAAACAGAGTAAAGTCGGAATTAGAGGTATCATGGAAACTTTGAACCAATTATTCCTTATGTCAATACCGGTAAGAACACACACATAAGTATCACGTGTTCTCAAGTTCCTCAACTCACTTAATACTTTTATGGCCTTGCGCTCATCCTATTCGACAAACTTTTGAGAGAGAAACTTACACTCTCTATTGAGGCAACACTACCTCGAAGTTAGTCTAGATGAAGTTCTTCTAGTATTTTTGTTACTTTTAGAGGTACTTATGTTTTAGCACTAAACTTCATTGAGAGTTCTAATGCTCAACCCTCATTTCAGTAACAACCAGCATTATTTAATTAGGATAGGGTCATTGCGGATTTAAATAATGCTGCAACTATTTATATATCGAATGACTTGTTGTTACCCTTTGAACCCGTGAATTACCTTTTGAGTAATGACAGGTAGGGTTGTCGTCATTGGTGGACCTTTTTAGTTAAGAAGTTTCAATCCCATCCTACTCGAAGTAGACGCCACTAAATCTCTATTTAATGCTTTAGTTAAAGGATCCACTAAATTCTCAATTGACCTTACATAATTTAGGAAAATTATTCCATCTTTGATTAATTTCCTTATGTAGTCATGTCTCAGACTCATATGTCTAGACTTTCCATTGTATATCTCGTTATATGCTTTTACTAACGTGGCTTGACTATCACACATGATAGATATTGAAGAGATATTCTTCGATCCCAAAGGTATCTCATATAAGAGATCCTTAAGCCACTCGACCTCTTTCCAGGTATCCGATAAAGCTACAAATTCAAATTTCATGGTCGAGTGTATTATACATGTTTGTTTCTTTGATTTCCAAGAAACAGCACCTTCTCCAAGAGTGAATATCCAACCCGAAGTGGATTTACTTTCACCCGTGCAAGATATCCAACTAGCATCGGTAAATCCTTCCAATATCGCCGAAAATTTAGTATATTGTAGGCCCAAGTTTTTGGTTTGTTTTAAGCATCCAAGAACTCTCATAATAGCCTTCCAATGATTATTACTCGAATTGTTAGTTAACCTACTAAGTTTACTTATTGCATAATTTATATCCGGTCTTGTTAGGGGTAGCAGTGGGCCGAGCCGAGTCGGCTCGGCTCGTTAACCCACGAGCGGCTTGGCTCGGCTCGGCTCGGGCTCGGGCTCGTGGCTCGTTTTTCACGAGCCGAGCTTGGGCTCGGCCCACGAGCTCGTGTACTCACGAGCCACAAGCTCGTGGGCCGAGCCGAGCCGAGCCCACAAGCGGCTCGCGAGCTCGTGAATTTTT